ACTTGACTGCTAACCAGAAGGCTGGTGGTTCAAGCCCCCAGCCGCTCCTTGGAAGGAAGATGGGGCAAGGGGCAATCTACTTCCATAGTGATACTGCCTTGGAAACCCAAGGAGGGGTCGCTATGAGTCAGGTCCGACTCTACAGCACATAACAACAACAACAGTAATATGCAATTATATATATATAATTGCAATAAACATTTATTAGGAAAAGGAAAAAGAAACATAGCAGTTACTAATCAGATACGAAATCCTGCTGGGCAGGCATTGTGACAACTGTCTACCTTGCTTGTAGGGAAAGTTTGTTAACCAAGCCCTGATTTTCCTGTTGAAGAAAAGTTCTTTTATCCATTGATCTCCATGACCTATGGAACATTCTTCCTTTTCCACTATCCATGGCTAAAGTTGCCATTGGAGAATATGTCTTTCTTTTATCTTCACAAATTCCTCAACACAATCTCAATGCCTGGAAGTCTGGAACCCAGTGCTGTAAGCCTTGAACAGCCAAAGGCTTTTTAAAACCTGAGCTGATGGTTTCTTTGGCAATACTTACACTTCAGAATGGCTTCTAGTTAGTTTCATGGAATAGTAACAGCCCTCTGAGTTTTCTGAGGGTCGTAACTGCCTTCTGAATTCTTTTAGGGCAATAATTGTTCTCTGAAATCTTTTTGAAATACAAAGATCTCCTTAAAGTGAAAAAAATTGTTGTAGGTCTATCCATGTAATAGTAAATCTAATCATAGTTGTTTTTTTTAATTGGAAAATTATGTAATGACCAAAAATGATTATGAATTAAATTTTATTTTAATTAGTTTGTTTCATTTATCACAATAGCATGTACAGACATTTGAAAAATAGTAGCAGTATACACACTTTTGATGTGCTATTTTTTTTAGTCCACAGGCCAGACTTGGTGCATGGCATGGGGATTTCTAGATACATTGGTCTGACACCTTCTCCCTCTGTCCCTCCAAGCCCCTCAGCTCTTCCCTTATCTCACTGGGCAGGAGTCTTCCATATAAATCCTACTTTATCAGTATTTCTGAGTTGGTTATTTTAAGAAGTTGTTTCAAAGAGCTGTTTATTTAGTCAGGCCAAATTTTGAGACTGACTGAGCACATTTTATTTTAGAACATTCAGAAACATGTACCTGCCACCGGCTCTTTTCAAACACTGCTTGTAAATAAGCTGAACTTAAAGAGTATAACCCACTGTTTAAATTAAATAAATTTCTCAAAGGAAAATTTATAAACAATAGGTTTCTGAAAGACCAGTACTGATTCGAAGGGTGGGAGTACATCATTCTACTGAAGCTGGCTTCGAGCCTCAGTAATTCATATTTTGTTTTGTTTTAGGTACACACTTTTCATTGTACTGTATCCAATGGGAGTATCAGGAGAGTTGCTGACAATATATGCCGCTTTGCCGTTTGTCAGAGAGGCTGGCCTGTATTCCATCAGTTTACCTAACAAATACAATTTCTCCTTTGACTACTATGCATTCCTAATTCTAGTAATGATCTCTTACATTCCACGTAAGTAAACAGTTATGCATATATTTATGTTTAAAAACTTGGTTCTGCAATAACTAGAGTTGAATGTCTTTGATTGTTTTACACCATGTCCAAGTAGATGTTCATCTAATGTATTGGGAAAAGCTTTGATTTTTATGGAATGCTTACGTCAGAGGGAATTTTCTCTGGCAGTAATTGAATAAAGATAAACCCTTCTTGGTACAGCTGCCAAAACACAGTGCTTCTCAGGATGTAAGTTTGAAACGGAATACGAGGATAGATTCACTCTATGTTAGGGGAAAGTACTGAGTGAAAAAAGGAGTCCTGGTGGTGCAGTGGTTAGGCATTCAGTGAGAGAAAGATGTAGCAATCTGCTTCCATAAGGATTACAGCCTTGGAAACCCTATGGGACAGTTCTATTATGTCCTGTAGGGTCACTGAGTCACAATTGACTCAATGGCAACGTGTTTGGTTTTAGTTTTTACTGAGTGGAAAACAAACCAAAAAAAAACCCGTTAAAGATTTTGCCTTGATTTTATTTTTCTGTTCCTTGAGAACAGCTCAGTATGACATTTAAAAACATGGTGAAAAGATGATTGCATTGCTTATTATATCAAAATAAAGGGTTATTTCATTTTTTAAGGGCTCAATAGTTTACTTAACTAGAAACAAAACAAAGTGAAAATAGAAGATTTTTTTTATTATTATTTCTCATTTTCTTGTTTGGAGATGAGCACTAAAACTATCTGAATGGGACATAGTGTTCTCTGCAGAATGGTTTCCAGTTATTTTCATAGTGTTGCTAAAGGTTTAAATATATGGATAATCAGATGTGCCTGTCAGCATACTCAGTAGCAGAGAGATAAAGACATGTTTGAAGCTTCTATACGGTGAGTCTTGTTTGTAAGGAAGAGAGATTGAGTTCTTTTCTCAAATTGTGATGTTCAGCTGTAAATCCTATAACTGATTTCTTACATATCCAAAAGACAACATATGTCTCATGTAGATGATTATTTAAATCATGAGTTGTTGTTGTTGTTGTTATGTGCCGTCGAGTCGGCCCCGACTCATAGCGACCCCTCCTTGGGTTTCCGAGGCAGTATCACTACGGAAGTAGGATTGCCCAACCTTCCTTCCGAGGAGTGGCTGGTGGGTTTGAACCGCCAGCCTTCTGGTTAGCAGTCAAGTGCTTTAGCCACTACGCTACCAGAGCTCCTAACAACAACATATATATATATATATATATATATAATGTTAAGTTTCTTCCCATTTAGTTATTTCCGTAGCCATTATAACTCCGAATCTTATTTTAGTGCATAAAAGATGCTATATTCTCCCCTAAACCCCAAGTTAAATTCAGGCAGGGTTGGATTTTTTTTCAGCCCACAGCAGCAACCGAATGAATCATCCTGACAATCATATGTGACATGTTTGTGTTCTTCTGTGGAAAATTGCATGTCATACATTGTGAGAAAAAGCATCCAGATTTCATGTGAACATTCTTGGAGAAATTCTTGGATGCAATTCTGCTTTGTGATTTAGTTTCCACTCTTTATTAATTATCAAGTCATCCTTTTTCGTAACGTAGCCATGGCGGCTAAAGGCTATCTCGCTTCAAATGTGAAAGGAATTTGATTTTCAAACAAAAGATAAATATGAATTTTTAAATTTAAGTCATAAAAATTAACATACAGTTTTTCACCTTCCTAATTTTTCCAGTCTCTTGAGCAACAATTCCTGGTTGCTGTTTTGCCACACCCAGAGTAGCACCTATTACACAGTGGGCACCACAGGGGTTATTTAAATTCAACATAGTCTTGAATGCATAGGAGATGTATGCCATATTGGATCACCTGACTAAGGAACAGGGAGTGTTTCATGAAACCAAACAAATTCTACCTCAGAATTTTTGCAACGTTCTAATCTGACTGAGAAGGAGGGACTTCAGTGGCCAGAAACAGCTCTCCAGGGCAACCTTTCTGTCTGCACCTCCTAGTCTTTTTTGTGATCTGGGGACCAACAAGTGGCAAGCCTTTTTGCCTCTGCCTACGGACCTGTTGGTATATGTAGTAAAAGGGCCAATCAAGAACAAGCAGCTCTCCCGTGATAGTATTCCTAAAGGAAAACATGCCCAGTTCTGTGGGATTTCTTCTTGGCCTTAATTGGTGGGGGTGCAGAATGTGAGCAAGAGAGAAAGCCCAGGCCTCAGGACCAGCTGTCTGTTTGCAGAGCAGGACAGGAGTCTTCTCCCAACAGAAAGCTGCTTTCTTTACCTCAGTTGCTTCCCCTTCTTCCAGTCTCAGCCTCCTTTTGGTAAGAGAATTGGGCTTGGTTAAAGTCTGTAATATTTCTTTTTTAAGGCAGCTTGACTGTTATAATCCAGGAAAAAGTAGATTTCACGTGAAGATGAAAAGATTCTCTCCAAATCACTGACTCCCCATCTAGTCTCAAGATGGCAGGCCAGACCATAGATAGCTTCTGCTACAAATCACTTTTTGTATCTGCTGGCGCTCGCTCAGCTTCTGGCCTGAGCCAATTCCCTGGATGTTTTCAGTAATTCAGGTTGTTAATATTGAGACCAGTTTGTACAGTTCAGTCCTGCCAACTGCACATTTCTAACTTTCCAAAGCTTTGTATTTATAACAAGAAAATGCAGAATTAGGATAGTTTGCTGTTGGTGTGCAGTCTTTACCAAATTTGGTTTTCTTTCTACAATTTAGGGATATTTTCATCTACTTTAATGGGAAGTTAATTTTTAAAAAAATGATTATATAAATGTCTTATATAAAGCAACACCTTTGCTTACTGGTCTTGATCCATTGCTACACATATACCCCAAACTATGGCTCATGAACCTCAGCCCCAGGAGATTTGTCCTATCAGTCCTCTCAAATGCTTTGCTTTGGGTGCAGTATGGACTACACCAGTACAATACTGTGGGAGCAGGACTCAGTAGATGACTAAGTTCTGGTCTACATTTTCCCCCCAAGATGGCCTCTTCTACCTTGGACAGAATGATTAGGTATCAGTGACAAGGGTTGCATTCATCATTTACTTGTGCATGGAGGGCATGTATTTCCAGTGGAGAGAGATCACCCCTAAGGAGAAAATTGGCTATTGGAGGAGGTGAAAAAACATGATTGAGAAATACTAATGATGTAGGATGAGGACACCAAGAAAGTAGGCATTGTCTCTGATTTTTAAACTAGGGAAGAAACTTGTCCCAGACAGTGCATCCCTAATTGCTCTCAGCCTGCAAGTCCTCCACTCCCTACAGGGGAAGAGAGCTCTAAAGGGATTGGCCATCTTTAAGGAAGAAAGGCCCCATAGGACCCACTAGCCCCTTCCAACACAGAGACAGACACGTATGCACAGCGATGATCTCCGTTCTGTGTGTCCTGAACTGGGGCACAGAAGATAGGACTCTCAATAGCTCTTTGTCAGGTTATTTTCTTAGAGTGTTTTTCCCAGTGTGGCCCAATAGAGCTAAAAATAGGAGCCATGCATCTGGAATTGTTTCAACCATTTTAGTTGGACTCTGTGTGAACACATGGGTAATTCAGATGGAGACAATGTCCCAACAGTGTCATCCAAGTTCTGGCCACCAAGAAGTCAGTGCTCCAGCTGTAGAGAATCTCCAGCCTGAGCACACAGACACACACACACACACACACACACACATTTGTTTCTCTTTGGCCCTGAGAAACCTCTGAGACATTTTTTTAAAAAAAGAGTAAAGGGCCATGCCTGTCCCCATCTTCTTGCTTTAGCTGCCATCTTTGCCCACTGAATAGCTTCTGGGTCTTTATTCTCCCTCACACCCTCTCAACTAGCCATGAGGCCGTAGCCACCCTGTATGGGGTGGTGTAGTCACAAACACATTCAGTAGAAAAGACCTTAGTGCACTGTCTTCCCAGTGTTTCCCTTTACAAAAGCAAAGCTATAGAAATTTGACTGGCCCCACATGTTTGAATGAGCACAATTAGCATTCCTTATGGTTTAATTATATCTTTACTTAGAGTTTTTAGATTATAGAGCTTGTCAAATTTTCTGGCTTTCATACCAAAATAGTTCTCTCACCATTGAATTACATGCATAAACTGGGTCTTTTCTGTGAATAACTTCCTGCCCAAAAATAGTGTGTGGAGTGGATGGCAGTGCTGCACAGCACTGGGGTCTCCTCTGCAGGTTATCAGATTCGTGTGTACACACCCACTGATGACTTGGAACACTCTAGGAAGATCATAGGAAATGTGGTCAACTTGTCCCCCTTTGGAAAGGAAGAAACGGCTAGGAGAGAGTTAGCAGTAGTAGAAATTTACCTTCTAAAAAATAAAGGTTACTGAAAAAAAAGGAGTTCTGGTAGTATAGTGCCTAAGGCATTTGACTGCTAACCAGAAGGCTGGTGGTTCAAACCCACCAGCTGCTCATCGGAAGGAAGACTGGGTAATCTACTTTCGTAGAGATACCACCTCAGAAACCCAAAGAGGGATCACTATGAGTCTGATCAACTCCACAGCAGTGAGTTTGATTTTTTTGGAGTTTTTCTGTTTGAAAAATAGAGATTTGAACTATTGGGGAGAGGAGAGAAGAAAGGCTATTGCATATCAAAGACCATCTCACCTGGAGTTATTTTTTTACATCATTATTGAACCACAGTTTATAGTAACCTTGTCAAACCCTATCTAGCTTAAAGAGACATTTCCCCACAGGGTCACAATAAGCATTGGGCCCATTCTTAACTGTGGGAGACTGTGGCACATTGCAGGATGTTTTTTGCATCCCTGGCCCCATAGGCTAATACCAGTAACCTACAACTCCCCTCCCTCATTTTTCATATCCAAATACTCCCTAGGGAGGCAGTACCACTCTGATCATTTTAGAGCCATTACTCTTTAAAGTGTTCTATGAAGTGACTAGGAAAAGGAACGTCAGTGCCTAGGATACTGGTTACTTTTCATGAGGACCTTTTCCCCAGCTCAGCCTGGCTTAGCTGTGTTCAAATCAAATGTCTTAGCACTCCTTCCCCTCAGATTTCCCGCTCAAAACACCACCTTTCTCGGAAAGTACTTTTAAAATGCCAGACGTTTTAAGGCTGAACTTAGAGGGAGAACCCCGGGTGACAGAACAATGATGGCAGGGGGGTGGGGGATGGCACTAGGCTGAGGGTCAGAAGCCCAGAGCCCAGTCCTGGATCTGTCAGCAATTTGCTGTGAGACCCAGGCATGTCAGTTCCCTCATCTGTGACACAGGAATAACTTCATCACTGGAATTCTTCACCTGGTTGTTGTGAAAGTAATCTGTGAATAAATGTGAAGCTAATGTGAAATAGGTGAAGGATTATTATTTGGTGGCTCTATGGCATTTATTCTGATTGGTAATAATGGTGACAGTAGTGTTTGTCATCCTTCTCCACAGCACCCTGATTCTCTCAGCTACAACACGGAGAGATAACTCTATGTTTTTGCTAGTTAATATTGTCAGGCCATGAGAGGCAGACAGGTCCATCCTGAAGGCTCCCGCCTTTGCAAGTCCACTTAGTTACTTTCCTTGGTTGCTGCATGAGAAGCTGGCCCCCCAGGTCACAGGTGGCCTCAAGTCCATGTGCTCTGAATATATAACAATGCAGCTTTCAGTTAGCTCTTTAACCAGTTCTTTCTTTCTTTCCTTCACAGTTTTCCCCCAGTTATACTTCCACATGATACACCAGAGAAGAAAGGTCCTTTCTCATACTGAGGAACACAAGAAATTTGAATAGTTCCTGCTTTTTTCCAAAAAACAAAACAAAACAAAAACTTTTCAACAATCAAAAAATGCTGCAGACTTTTTGAATCCCCAAAATGTTTCATAGAAAATAAGTAATAACTATTTTTAACATATTAAAAAAAATAAATAAAAACCAAAATCCAGTGTCACATGGGCCTGGGATTTTTATTTTAAAAAAAAGGAGAAAAAGAAAAAGAAGAAGCTGTTACATAAAACATCCTGGCCGGTCCATTTCAGCATGCTGTTTCAACCAGAAATTCCCAATATTTATGATGGCGATAGAAAGGTATTTGGCATTTTATATCCTCCTGTTTCCTTCATGTAGCTGATAAATAACGATCTGTAACACTAAACGCTTGAGAGTTACAGTCTGAATAATGAAGCACCAACTGAATGCCCAGCTTGCAGTAGAGTTATATTCAGTCTGCAGTGTGTTTAGCATTCCCTTTTCAAAGTGCTTGACTGCATGCTGGAAACTATTTGTATTTTTGAAGTGACAAACTTTGTTCTCTGGGATGCTCTGAAGTTATGGCTGGGATCTGTCCCCTCCTATCTAGTGAATGAATTATAAAATGCATATGCCTGTGAAGCTTTGGGGTAGTGCCCGTAATCAGAAAATAGCTAGAACCCTTTTGTTTGTCTTCACTTGAGTCATCACTGCCTGCCACTAAGGAACATGCTTGAATTTAATAAGTATGTGTACATTGTAGAGAACCTACTTTGTCTGGGGCTCAGCCATAATCATATTTTAATAAAATAACAGTTCTCAAAAAGGGAAAGATCAGTAGCTACTAAATGACAGTACTTCTCATGGTGCCGGTCTTAGAACACATGTAAGTAATATGTTTACCAATAACTATTCTGATTTATAAGGAACTCTGGCATAATGGGTAAGGCATTTGGCTGCTCACCAGAAGGTTGGTGGTTCAGACCTCCGAGAGGAAGATGAGGCAATCTACTTCCATCAAGATTTACAGCCTTGGAAACCCTATGGGTCACTATGAGTTAGAATCAACTCCATGGCTGTGGGTTTTTTTGCTTTTATTCTGATTTATAGACTTGAAACTAATCTACTCACATAAGAGTAGGGAATCTGTTATTGAAAGCATGTAAAAAGTGTTCCTTTAGAAATACAGTCTGGAAGAACATCCAGAAATAGGTTTATACACTGTTATTTTTAATTTTATTTTTATGTTTTCATTCCATTCTTCTATTTGGATACTTTTCCTAATTGTGATCCTATTTTAATGCCCACCAAGTGGTAAGTCCCAAAGTGGTGAAATGTTCAAGGTGGGCAGCCGTGAGTTAGCCCCAGCATCCATGCATTTTGGAGCAGCCAAGAAATCTCTTGGCCATATGGACATTATCTAATTAATGTCACGTCTTCATACCATTTAACTGCTCACTGTACTTTGAAAACCCTTCAAGAAAGAGTTGTACAAAAAATGTAAAGCCCAAGTTCAGGCGTGCATTAGATTTTAGATGTTGTGTGTTCTTTATAAAGGTTTTTTCAACCTTTTTTTTTTTTTTTTGGTTGATCGTTTAAAAATCTTACTTATGGAGTAGTGACTTTGAAATGTAATTGCCAGTATCAGAGGAGTGCCATAATGGGAAACTCATTTTTCAAATGCTTATTTCATAGAAATTTGACAATTAAGATGAAAATGAGGAGAAAATATGCAGCCTAAAATTTAAAGCAGGCAGGTGTGTAATAAATTATTTTTGAACTGAGCATTAAAATTCTGTTCCTTAAATCCAGCTCTCTTAACTTGGGTATAATGAGATGAGAATCTGTTCTTGTACTTAACAGACAAAAGATGTGGGAAAGATCATTTTTCATGCTTTTTCGCTCTTTTCATTCTCCCAAAATGTATTTCTACTGTAAACTAGGATCACTGCGGGTTATATCAGCCTTTCTACATTATTTGGTTAAAATTTTCTCAGATGTTGTTTGTAGAAGAAGGACTGAAACATGTAGGCTCTCCAGGATTTCTGAGATTTGGTATTTTATTCAAGCCTGCATTACAGTTTATCTCTATTTATGAAAAACAATCTGTCACAAACAGTGATACTGCATCCAATTGAACTTTGGCAACAAGAACACAGCAGACAACTCCCTTTTTTAAAAAAGGTCTCCACCCTCATGTGTATTTTGTCCATCAACATTTAAATACTTATGGAGGATAAGGAAGGCATGGCACTGTATCCTTCAGTCACCTCTCGTAGTAACTGGTTTCTTTGTCCCTAACATGACTTAATTTCTTCTTTGAAGCAGTAGTGTTCTTTTATAAATTGAGAACATCCAACCCCACCAAATGTCACATCCTCTTATAAAGTGTGAATAAAGAATGTGATGTTTTGGTGGGTCTTTTTTCAGACTTAGCAGTGTCATTTCAGGGCATAGTTAAAGGCATCATCTTCACAGCTACCCATTTGATTGGGGGGAGGTTCAGTCCCCCCCCCGGGGGGGGCCTTCTTTTGGCAAAGAGAATCCTTTGAGGGACGCAGCAGTGCTTTGTAGACACAAGCTGCTAATCTGCATCGTGCTGTGTTCTGTTTGCTAAGGTTGGGATCATGCTTTTCACACATACTGACCATTATCAAAGAAAGGCACCATAGAGAGTTAATCATGGAATAAAGCACTGTCCTCCCAGACAAACAGAGTCCTCTGGAGAGAGCTTCCAGTAGGAAAAGTTGAAAAGATGTAGATGAAGAGATCACACCCTCATTTTTTCACTTGTGTTTTTTGGTTATTTGTTTATAATGAAAGGTTGGCATTGATGTAGTCCAACCTGCAAATTATTTTCAATTCTGAGTTTCAGATAAAACATTATAAAGCATCAAATTCAGTACATCCTGATCTTCTGAAATTTGGGTAAAAAAATCATAGAACTGTATAGTCATTTTTGTATTTTTTCTATGTTGTGAAAACCAAAATTGTAATTTTATAAGTCTTTGATTCACTAAAATTATATAATTTAAATGTATTTTTTGTATATTTAGAAATAAGGAGTTCAAAGACTATGCTTAACTTTCTATGCATGCATTTGGAAGCTGTTTTTACCTGATAACTGTTAATGTAGTAATAAGTTGTATTCATAAAATACTGATCTGTGTTGCATTTCAAAATAAACTGATGTGTGCTGTGCCTGGATTTGAAGTACTGAGTGAATCTAATGATTTTCCACACTGTATCAGCCTGAACGTGTGTGTGCAGGAACATGGAAGAGTTCCAGTTCTATTATGGATTCCGGCTCTTTCTGTGATGGTTTTAAATCTATTTTTGCTATTCATAATGGTTCTGTACTTACAGGAAAAAGAGACAGATTTTTCATGTTTACTCACAGGGCACTATTTTTCATATTTCCTTTTATGATTAAGCTTATGAACAGTAAGTAATAGTGCCACAAATTATTTTATTCTAAGGCACTTGATTTCTCATTTTCAGTGTGATGAAAGTAGATGATAATTAAGAACAAATGGATATCATCTGACCATCTGACTCTTCTCATAAGTTGAGAGGGGACATACTGTTGCCCAGAAATGTCCATCTTGTATTAAAATAAGATTTGGTGAATGCAAGTACCTCCTCCTGAAAATGCCCCAAGTACGAACAACCCCAGGAATGGCTCTACTCACTCTCAGTTTATACCAAGAAGCAGTGCAGAGGATGCTAACGGGGGATGCTCAGCTGGGCCATGTCCTTTTTATTTATTTATTTAAATTGTGAGTTGGGTGAAAATTTACAGGGCAAATTCATTTTCCATACAGCAGTTTATACACATTTTGTTTCATGATATTTGATTGCAGTCCCCATAATGTAACAGCTTTCTTCCCACTTCCTCCCTGTGGTTACCTTTTCCCTGTGTCCTTCTTTTCTATACATTCGTGTCAGCCAAGCCACTTCTGATCTCACCTCGCAATGAAAGTGCAGATGCCTCCCATGTCTTAGGTACTTTCTAGTTATGTCTCTGAGTGAGCCCCGCTCACAGTGCTTCCAGAGCTAATCCCTCACCTCCTGCCTGGGTCTTTCTCACACCGTTGTCACTGTGTCCAAGAGTATGATCTTTACCTACTTTCAACTGGTTCGGAAAGATCCATATATTTTTATACAGAGAGAAAAGGCAAATGTGAGAGAATGTTAACAGTTTTGAAATCTGGGTGTAGGGCTATGGTTGATCCCTGTAGGATTCTCCTTAGTTTTCTGTTTATTTAAACTTTTTCATAATGAAATGTTTAGGCGAAGAAAGGCCTTAAAAATAAAAAAAAAGTGTGATCTTTGTTCCAAAAGGGAGCATTTTCTTTCCAAATGCCTACTCATCACGGCTTTGACATAACCCACACAGAGGTTAGAACCACCGCTCTCATGTTGAATCCACTCTGTTTGAGAGAGAGGTTTCTCATTTATAGAAAAAAAAAAAGTGATTTCAACTGAAACTGAGGAACAGATGGTAAAGTTAACAGTAGAGGCTACCCAGCAAATACAACCTTTACAATCTTAGGGTGGTGGTTGTGGTTGTTGTTATGTGCTGTTGAGTCGGACCCAACTCATAGTGACCCCTCCTTGGGTTTCTGAGGCAGTATCACTATGAAGTAGATTGCCCCATCTTCCTTTCGAGGAGTGGCTGGTGGGTTTGCATCACCAGCCTTCTGGTTAGCAGTCAAGTACCTTAGGCACTATGCTACCAGAGTAATGAAAAACTGGGGCTCTCTAATTTGTCATTGTCATATTTTGTGGCAACTATGTGTACTATGTTAACTCCTCAGAAAGGAGGTTGGGCAATCTACTTCTGCAGTGTTACCCTTGGAAGCTCAAGGAGGGGTCGCTGTGAGTCAGATTTGACTGGAAAGAAGTGCTTTTTTGTTTTGTTTTGTTTTTTATGTTAACATAAGCCCTAGCCTGGAGGAATTACTATCAGTATAATTAAAAGACCTACTGTTACACACAGCATTCCAAAAATACTGCTGTGTTGTTCTGTTCCCTTTAACAAGAATGAAGACTAGCTTTGGAATTCCTCATCTTATTAAAAAGAAAAAAAAAAAAAAAAATCCGAGCTTCACAAATAGCCTGACTCATTGTCATATAGTTTAGTGGTGAAGAAACTGTTCTAAGTAACTATTACCAAAAATAGCCACACCTACTAACAATTCCCCTGCCTACAACTGAAAACCAGAGTTAGAAGAGGCCAATGATTTCTTTTAAACTTTTAAACTGTGAGACACAGTTCAATTTTTTTTTCCCACATTGAGAGATACTCTTAGTGTTATAAGGGCAAGTCTCATTACCAAATTTATTCTTTATTTCCTACAAAAGGCAATTCTCTTCCTGAAAGCCTCACCTTAGATTAGGAAAAAAATAAAATATATGTGAGAGGCTGTGGACTTAAGCAA